ACCACACACACACACACACACACATCCGCTGAAATTCAATACTTCCTCTATCGGCAAAGTTATATAAGACCTCCGCCCTTGCCGAAAATATAGTCACTTCACCATCAGCGGAAGCCCTCGTCGGTTATATCCAGGGTCCACCTCATCGACCATGTAGAACAGTAAGAACTCTTCTATCTCCATCTTTCGCTCCTAGCTCAACCTTTATCTGTTCACGGAACTTTCCTAGTCCAACTGTGTCTTCGTTTTCTGTGTGGACATTCCCAAGCTCTCCACTCTCCCTCGACCACGACTGCCTGTACTCTGTGAGAATTATTAAAAGTCTCCCAAGGTGCAGAAAGGGACTGGAAAACTTCCCCTCCTGACTGTTCCTCTCGGTCAACACAGTATAGCGAGAGTCGACTGGGACTCACACCATAGTCAACTGGATACCTTACCACATATATATATTTAAATTTTACACAAATAAATTAAGCTGCCTAAGCTGCCTTCCATAGAAAATGCAGGGTATATAACAAAACCAGTCTAATACAATAGTAGAGCGGTCTAGAGATCAATTTGGCGAAACCGCTGAGAGGGTTCACTACTGATGAGACAAGCCCTCTCATTCAATAACTCATATCATTGAAGTAAGGTCTGTAGCGATAATATTTGATGATATTTAAAAGAAACGCATTGCCAGTAAATTTATTTGTGAAAAATTTTAACGATAGATGGCAATAAAATGTAATTTACTAATATATTTAAATGTCCCTTCTCTTCATCAATTTATTGCACAAAATTACTTCAAAGTAATTTAAAAATCTGTAGATCATATGTATGATCACACGTATAAAGAGAACATTTCTCACGGTATTAAACTATTTCTTAGACGTCAGCATTAGACAAGTCATGTTTAGCAATCTCTATCAGTAGATAAGAACAGAAACCTATTCGGCTGAATCCTATCAGAGATAGAAATATCAACTGATGGTATTCATATTTAAGAGATAGGGAAGAATCTGTTCTATATTGCCACGTGGAAAATTAGGGAAGACAGAAACTTCAGGAGGAAACAACAATTTATTTCAGGGAAGGACAAACTAAGAAATTTGAACAGAAGCCACACAAGGGAAATTTACATAGTCGCCAGATATAAACATAAAAATGGCCACTCTGTTAATAAAAAATAATAAAATTAATAAATACTATTATACCGCGAATGTTAATTATTAATAATTAATATATTAATAATTAATAATTTTCGTTTTACAATCATCAGCCGCGTTATATTGTATAATAAATACTATGTTACATAGCTTCTTCCCTATGGGAGCTGTGACCCACAGCTAGCAATTATTGTAGATATTTACATGGATCTGACGTGCTTCTGCCAAAGGTTCCATCGAAATCTTGGAACTTTGTCCCTAGTACCTTTGCGTCCTTTTTCTTGCGGCGTGAAGAGCGGCTTTGTCGTCGTATCGTCTATAGGGACATCATCATCTTCGAGGGAAGTCTTGGCTTTAGCACGGCGGTGGAATCCTGGAGTCAGTCTCTGAAAATGTAGATCACAGCACCCATGGCTTCGAAGTCTTCTCGGCGGTCTTCAGTTTGTCTTTCCTAACTTACCCGGCATCTCCACCTATATGCCACGTGGAAAATTAGGGAAGACAAAACTTTCAGGAGAAAACAACAATTTATTTCAGGGAAGGACAAACTAAGAAAGGTAAGCAAAAGATAAGGCACGAGGGAAATTCATTTTTTTTTATATTCAAAATGTACAGCATTTATTATTAGTAGAGATTATGATAATGAATGAGTCATATCATATACAGGGTAGCCCATTGGTCCCAAACCTTTTTATTCTTCAATTAAAAATAAGAGGGCAGAATTTAATAAAATGGTAATACTTTTATTATCGTTTGCCTTCGAATTTTAATTTAAAAAAATAAAAGTTTTTGGAACTTATTGGCTACCCTGTATGTCTTAATTTATATATTACACATAGAAACTTCAATAAAAGAACCACCAGAAAAGAAAAGAGACACCCGAGAAGAGAAAGTCTGTAAACAATGCGTTGAAATTGTCACAACTACACAGGGAGGAAGTGAAAATATCTATAACTATGTAAGTCCGTAATTGCACACGAGGCGGATTGCAAAGCCCGCCTCTCTGACGTCACCATCAATATATAAGTTTTTATTCTGAGCCCACAGGATAGAAAAGATAAGGCCATCCCTATTTGGTCAATTAGTCAGAAATAAGTCAGTCAGGAGAGCAAAGAACGAAAGCAAAGAAGAACGAAACCTGAACGGGAGTCTGGAATAGTCTGTGCTGCCCAATATACCAACGGTCATAGAACTTCCCATAGTCAATCGCGCCTTCCTGGGTGACACTCCTAAACCGAGATAACCTTGCTCCTATGCGTTTGGATATCTTTCTTTTTCAGACTAGTGCGCTCCCACTTCTGGCCAAAGACTACAATTTTGATGATGAACCTATGATGGTTTCCGCTCCACACAACATATATATTAGATTGGCGCAAACATTCTTCACACAAAATTTCTAATGAAAGATACAGATTCTCAAACATTAAAAACACTAAAGTACACATGTAAAGTACACAAGTAAAGAATGCTGCAACCATATATATTTACTTGAAGATTTGTTCTAAAAAAAAGTGACAGCACTGTCTATTTTTTTGCCACCATAGTTTTGACTGGACCAGATCTTGTTAAGAGTGGGGAAAATCTCTCTTTATTTGTAACATGAATGTTCAAATATTAACATTTTCTCTTACAACTATTCATTTAAAGTATCAGAATTTAAAAGGCATTTTGAGTTATTGCCAAATTTATCATTAAAACCTTAGGCCAGAGGTAGGCAAACTGCGGCTCTCAAACCACATGCGGCTCTTTGGATGTGAAGCTGTGGCTCTTTGTATAGTTTCATACGCAAATATTATTCATGCGAAATACTATTTATTGTTGGCAAGAAAAAAGCTTTGTGACTCTTTAAAAACTTTGCAAATTTGTAAATATTAATTTTAAGCTCTTCAGACTCAAAAATTTGCCGACCCTTGCCTTGAGCCTTTCAGAATTAATGTCCACAACTATCACATCTAAAATTATTCATGAATAGGATTGAGATATCATGATAAATGTGATACCAGGTTGTAAGAGTTGGCTACTATTTTTAGAAATCCTACTCTATCACTGTAGGTCTTTTCTATTCGCATTTATAACAATAACTTGTGCTTTCTTCTATTTCGTGATCTATACCAGGCCACAAAATGAAATATCATACCAGAACTTTCATTTTTACATTTTGAATTAGGCTCTATATTTTATTATGATAATTACTTGCATTCACGGAAGTAGAGACATCATGACATGAAAATGATTATCTCTCCGAAAAAAACAACTTACACAAAATTTCATTCGAATTTGGGACCCAGTTCAAAGAATAAAATGCCACACTTTTCTCAACATGTATTTCAACAGGAGAACAAGAAGTATGACTAGAAGTAGTAAAATGGGCGTTTATAGTTGGCTGGGAGTTATACTTCTAATTCTCCTGTTTATAGCCTGTTGTCTTGAAAGCTAGATAAATAGAAAATAAAGAAACATGATTCAGGATTTCTTGTTGATTTTGTTATATATTGAAGGCAGGGAAGAATATGCATACTATTCTATATCAATTCAATTCAGAAACTAAGAATCAAATATGAAATTAACAAGCGATGTTTGTAGCTTGAGTAAAATATGATCGTCATATGAAAGTAATTGGCAATACATTTTTATTGTAGTAAATCTCCTTTGTATGTTGGTGTTTCAGAGATATTAATTCCGAGAACGATTATATGAAGAGATAGAGATTAAGTGTGTAAAGGATATATATATATCAGAAAGAGGTTTCCTACGTGTGTGGGAATTTTTTCACAATATTCAAATGTTTTATCATTGAGAATTTTCTTGAGGGTATGATCATTTCAAGCCAAACTGTGAGGGAATATTGAAGCTTGGAATGAAAAACCAATAGATGATAAAAATATTGTTTATATCAAGTTCAATATATTTCTGTAGGTCAAAACGCTTAATTTATCATATTATTCTCTCATTTAGAATATTGTCATTTCCATGAAAAAATGTTCGAGAAATTAAATATTTTAAGACTAGTTATCAAATATACTAATAATAAGACAATGACTTTGTCTCTAGGGTTCATAAAATATAGTTATGATTATTATATTAAGAACTAAACATATAATTTGAATAAAGTTGTGATATAATAAAAGGCGTGGAAATTGTTATGTTCCAAGAGACCTCTTATGAGAAAAAATTTGTTTTTATAAAATAATTTTACTCTATCATTCTCTCTCACTTCCCTTAGAATTTTTTTCAATATAAGATAGTTTCAAGCCAAACTGTAAGGGAATGCTAAAGTAGGTAATAAACAAACCAATGGATGATAATACTTGTTTAAAATCTACAACAAAAACATTTCCACAGGTCAATAAATTTGATTCAGTATAGGATTGAACACAGAGTACTCTGTAACAAACGATAGCATCATTGCAGCAGATTGTTCTGTGTAGGAGGGCATTTCCCATCTCAGTATATTTCTCATTAACAAAACTTGAAACAAGCGCAACAGCGATGAATTTATAACCTTTCTGCACTATCATACATGATATTAAATAATAATCATTATTTATGAAATCAACAAATAAAAATATAAATATATTTACTAATATAAATTGTGCTAATAAATAGAAAAAAAAAATTTTTTTTTTTGCTTATCCCTAGTACACGTGGTACAGGCCATGATAATCATGGTGGGTAGTTAGCGACTGCTTTTTACTGTAAGCGCACCACATGTCTACACATGTGAAAAGCAGTTCGACTTTGCACTTACAAATGTGCCAGAGCCCCGTTTGGTTACTTGCACTCACTGGTGGGGTTGGACTTTTGCAAGAATCGGGGGGCCATTGGAGCATTTTTTTTTTAAACAGAAAAAAGTGTCCAATGCGGGGATCGAACCCGGGTCGTAGTGGTCGTAAACCAGACGGTTTAACCTGGTTCAACTCACATAAATAGGTACCGCTCAGCAAGAGCAACCTAGTTCATGATAATTGAACAATGAATAATATGTGAAGGTTATTCACATATTAAACAAAATTTAATCGCGGGATTCAATCCCGGTTCATGACTGTCGGGAATCGAGGGGGTTACCCACTCGTCCACCGACTTATATGCGGTTTAACCAGCCTTACACCGACCCCCCATAGAAAATATGAAAGGAGAAAACTGTGTTTAGCCTTATGATCATATCTAAATTATAAAGAAATTCATTAATTGCATATTTAAATTGATATTGATATAATTTATTTTTAAGGTTTGATACATTTTCATAAAAAAAATACAAATTAATTATAATTATTTTCAATACACATAAATCCAAAGGAAAAATTCAGTGAAAATGAACATCAATTCCTCCAGATAAACTAAAAAGAAATTTGGGGAAAAATCATGATAACCACTGAAAACTGATTTCACCATATTAATGGGCCATATAATATATATAACATTAGTTATAAAAACGATTATGAAGGCTTTCTTTTTCAACGTTGGAGTCCAAATAATTTGTTTCAATATGCAATTTATGTCTTTTGTATAATAATAGTGAAGATATATCAAGAATATAATATTTATATTAACCCAAGCATTTCTGAAAACAATTTGAAAGATAAGGGAAAATATTTCTAAACTTGTCCCTTTGCTTTTTTTATAATCATGAATACGACGTAGGGACTTGGGAAAAATAATTAAAATAATTAATATAGCTTTTAACATTATTTTTACAAAGGTTTTTCTATTTAAAAAAATCTTCATATTTTGTTAGAGAATATTGAAATTAAGTTCAAATTTCTATACCTGGAAGAAACAGGGTTTAGGACAGTGGTTCTCGAGAGTGCCGAAGGAAATTAAAAATTATTTGCTCCTCATAATATGGTTGTCAGGCAACAATGAGTAATAATATTTGTCTTTATTGATTTGAGTATTAGCTCATATTATCTGTTTCTTATGAGTAAACCTAATGTCGCAGAATTTTTTTAAACCGTAAATCGATATAATTTCATATGAATAGGATGAGTGTGTCTGACACCTTAGCCAGAATAAAGAGACAACTATTTTTTCAAACCTGGTAAACTAAGGCCTTCTAAGACAAATTATATTTTTAAGTGATGATGTTTGAGAACCTGTATTTTACATTAGAAAAATAGAGTGTAGTGTGTTTTATCAATTTAAATGAACACTAAAATATATTTTTCTAAAGAAAGTGATAGATATTAGCGTCTATTTTCCTAATAAATTTAACTGGACATAATACTATGGACAGTTTAAATAATTAACACAAAGCAATAACGCGCCATCTATACATATAAAATAAAAGGATTTAAAAGCGCGAATGTTTCTTTTATACATAAAACGAACTACTACTGTCCTTACTGCGATGAAAAAATATATTGGAAGGGCTTGGCTCATCAGTGGCGAACCCTCCAGGCAGTTTCGCTAATTTAATCCAACAGACCGCTTCTCAGAGCTCTAATATTGTATTGGATCATTCTGCTTTTATATGCTACACTGAAGGATGGAATCTTAGAAATGGTTTTCAAGTAAACTATGGACGTAAGCTTATAGGACAGTAGAATTACATTCAAATATTTGCTTCGAGCAATGCTCTTCAGCAAACTATAGAGACAAGGCCAGTAAGGAATAAATTAACACAGAGCAATAACGCGCCATCTATACATATAAAATAAAAGGATTTAAAAGCGCGAATGTTTCTTTTATACATAAAACGAACTACTACTGTCCTTACTGCGAAGAAAAAATATATTGGGAGGGCTTGGTTCATCAGTGGTGAACCCTCCCAGCGGTTTCGCCAATTTAATCCACCAGACCGCTTCTCAGAGCTCTAATATTGTATTGGATCATTCTGCATTTATATGCTACACTGAAGGATGGAATCTTAGAAATGGTTTTCAAGTAAACTATGGACATAAGCTCATAGGACAGTAGAATTATATTCAAAGTAAGGACAGTAGTAGTTCGTTTTATGTATAAAAGAAACATTCGCGCTTTTAAATCCTTTTATTTTATAAGTTTAAATAATCAAGGAAAATACACAGCATCGAATATAAATGTATTTATGAAATCACATATGTACCATAACTTTGTTGTTGAATATTCTCTAGCTATAAATAATTTGGTAGTTGAATTGTAATCACCTAGTCGTGTTGACGTTATAAATAAATATTATTTTATTGTATCATTGCGATCTGTCTCGTCACCCATTACTACGCTACAATATTAATAAAAATACATGTTTATTATCAGGGAGCTGAAAGCTTACGATAGTGCTCTCCATCTCTCTCTCTCTCTCTTTGTGAATATATATAAATATCTAATATTTTAAAATGATTTCACATACCAAAATATTTTTTCAAAAACAATTTCACGACCTGAAAAAACATTTCTCTCTGTTTGATCACCTTATTCTCTCTCTTCGTACGTTTAATTCTTTAATTGTATTTCATCTAGCTTAGCGTATTCACACACATTTTGACATAAATATCACATTGATCGATATTCCAGAAAGTCTATGTCAAGATTGTTTGACCGTGAGGGTGTCATCAACACCAGTCCGCGAGAGGCAATAGCTTGAAATACGTCAAGAAAATTGATTTCGTTTCTATGGAAACAATTTTAAGAAACAGGAGACATCTCCAGAAGAGAACGACAAGGACGCCTGAGAATCACAACCTCATCAAAAGAACGTTACTTGAAGTTAACGGCAGCGTAATAAAAAAATTATAGCCAGACAGCTAAAAATCGTCTTCTGCAGAAAACGCCATCTACAGCTATGATGGGGAACACGAGGAGGAGATCATCATCCTGCGGGGATCAGCTACGCCCCTTACCTGCCTCACCACTTGAGCGCGCGCTGGGCACTGTTTTCAGAACGGCTGAAGAAGCACCATGTCGGTGAGCTTGTGGCGCGCTTAGACCACCACCGTGAACGTGACCTGTTCCATCCAGTGGGCGTTCTTGAAGAGCGTTCTTGCCCGAAAGCTAAAGAATAAAAATGTTTTAAAAAGTTACTTTTCCCTGGAGACCTGATATATTTTACTCAAATTAAGGTTTGGATAGCTATATTATAATACACATTAGATATAAGTAAATAAACAAATCAATTACAAACAATTGCGTAGAGGCAGTGGAAAATGTTTTATTTTAAAAAGAAAAACCGTTGGCGCCTTATAAATAAGTTATATATTCAAGCAAATCAATATTAGCGAATGCTTAATTCACTGTTGCATCACAACCATTTTTTTCTGCGATCGTAATAATGTTATTTTACCTATGGCGTGAAATACTCTTTTAAACTCTAGTTCTACCATTTATATAGATAGTTTAAATATATATATTTGTGTTAAAATATGATAATCAACAGAAATACTTTGGTAAAATTTGTATTAAGATTGTTTTTGATTATTTTAATTATTTTCCCCAAAGTCCCTACATGGTATTCATGATTACAAAAAAAGTAAAAGCACAATTTTTGAAATATATTGTTTACTTTTTCAAAATTTCTTCAATAATGCATGGCTCAATTCAAATTTTATTTGCCTAGTGCACCTTTACTATTATTATTCTGCAGACATAAATTGTAAATTAAAACAAATTATTTGGACATCAACTTTGAAAAATAAAGTCATTACAGCCTTATTTATATCTAATGTAATACTGTATATATTTTATGGCCCATTAATATGATAAAATTTTATTTATGGATATATTATGAATTTTCACCAAATGACATTTTACATTGTATTCGGGACTTATTGTTCATTTTCACTGAATTGTTTCTCTGGATTTACGCATTAAAACTGATTATAATTCATTTATATTTTCATGAGAATTTATCAAACCTGAAAAAGAATTTGTATCAGTATCAAGTTAAAAATGCAATTGATGAATTCATTTACAATATAGATATGATCAAAACGCTGAACGGAATTTTTTCTTTTAAAATTTTCTATTTATTAGCACAATTTATATTTGTAATAATATTCATATTTTCATTTGTTGATTTTACAAATAATGATTATCATTTAATATCATGTATGATAATGCATAAAGGTTTTAAATTCATCGCTGTTGCGATTGTTGCAAGTTTTGTTAATGGGTACTATACTGAGATGGGAAATGCCCTTCTTCACAGAACAATCTGCTGCAATGATGCTATCGTCTGCTACAGAGTACTCTGTGTTCAATCCTATACTGAATCAAATTTATTGACCTGTGGAAATGTTTTTGTGGTATATTTTAACCAAGTATTATCATCCATTGGTTTGTTTATTACCTACTTTAGCATTCCCTTACAGCTTGGCTTGAAACTATCTCATCATGTAGAAATTCCTCAAGAAAATTAATGATTAAATAAAATCCATATTAAAAAAAGAAACAACCGCTATAAGAAAGAATCCTCTTCAAAAACTTGTCTATTTTTCTCTCATCTTGAAGATAAAGGTTTCCTGGCCGGCATTCATATTTCTTTTAAAAAATACACTTCGGCCAATTAAAGTTTTATTTTTTTTCAACGTTTCATCGCGTGAGAACGCTCTTGCCACCTCAGAAATACCTTAACACCTTGCCGAATGCTTTAATTTTATTTATCCTGACAAAAACAAAATATATTTGTTGGAGCGTTAAGAAAAATAAAACTTGAACTGGCCGAAGTGTCCATTTTTTAAATAAATATTTTTCTCTTATTAACTCTCCTGGAACTGTTCTCTCTAAGACTCTTATATAAGAATATTTGCCGCATTAAAAATATTAATTAGGTTTCTTTAATCTGATGGTTGTAACTATTGCCTAATTAATTATATGTTTGACGCCTAACCTTTCAACCAAATTGCTAAAATAACATTGTCTCCTTAACGATGAATAATAAACAAAATACAATTTTTTTCCATATTCGAAAATCATTCGTTCTTCAATTTAAATATGCTGATATTTTCGTTTCTAATAG